CGTTTTAGCAGTCAGGGATCTTGGGAACATTACTTCCTCAGTGTTTTCCCGAGACCCCTATATTCTTCAAGAGGCTGCACCCTATAATTCTTTAAAATGCTTGTTGCTCTTTTAATAAGCTAGCTTTTTAAATACCTGTCTATCCATTTCACTCAGCACTATGATGTCAAAAATATGTCTTGTGAGCCAAGTGTGATTGGTGGGACACATTTGTAGCCCCAGTAATCAGGAAGCTAAAGCAGGAGGATTGCAAATTTGAGGTTAACCTGGGCAATTTAATGAGAACTTGTCTCAAAAGAAAATTTTGAGTCTTCCAACAAAGATTCTCTCGCTGACTTAACTCTAACCGAGCTCTTCCAAGGCCTCTTTCTGATTAGGTCTCAACTATCGCCTAGCAATGCAAATCATTTGGTCTACCTCTTCTCCTAAAGAAAAAAAAAACCTTAAGCACTAGCAGTTTCTAGTGATACAAGTCCACACACTCAGGAGCCCCTCCCAAAGTGTCATCCAGCAGAGCACAGGTTGTCATAGAAGATGCTGGTGTAGCACCAGCACTGCCTGTCTGGCTTCCTTTTCTAGCACACCTACTGCAAAAGGCCTACAACTGAGAATCTTTCCTCCGTCTCTTTGGAACGTGGATGTGTCTCCTACAATCCAGGCAATGTCTTTCTCAAGGACTTGACCGCCATTCATTAAAATGTAAACACCAGAAAGGAAAGGGCTGCAGTCTCTCCAACTCTGAGAAGGTGGAATCTTAACCTTGATAACTGCCTGGTAAGCCTAATACATTCACCAGAAGGAGCCTTATGTAATTTTGCACTTCCTATTTCTAGGAAGTCCCTGTTTGCTCCTCCCTGGCTTCTTCCTTCTCCTCTAAACATTCAGTTTCATTGTACAATGTGAAGGTGGCTTCGGTTCACACTGCACTCCCCTGTTGCAACACCTTAGCACTGATCAACCCTGTCCTCCCCACTTTACCTAGAGACTGCCTCTGCTTCTCCACCAGCACAGCACTTGGTGCATAGTAGATGATCCATAAATACTTCCTGCCTGAGAGCATGCTGATTAAGATTTATCCTAGTTGCCTAGGTGCAAAACCAATCACTTCCAAATGTCATAGTATAACCTTGTTATCTGTGGGTCAGGAACTTGAAAATGGGATCTTTCTTTGTTGGGTGCCATCTGGGGCAATGGTTGAGTGACTGGAACAGCCCAGGGGGACAGGGGCCCTGTTGCAAATGGTTTCTTCAGGTTTCTGTCTGACACCTACGCTGGCTGGGTAGGTTACAGAGGCCCAGCCTGTGGCCTCTCCAGCAGGATGGAACCGGAACAGTCAGCTGCCTTGCCTGGGGGATCAAGGCTCCAAGGACATTGATCCCACAGCAGCCTGGCAGCTTTATGGCCTTTCTGCCAAGTCTCACAAGTCACACAGGTTTATTTCTAGCTTATTCTATTGATTGAGGAAGTTAGAACTCTGCTGGACTCAAAGGAGGGAGAGGTAAAGAATTTGCAGCTTTTTTTTTTCCTTTTTCATTCTGTTTGTTTTTTAAACCTCCACATTCTCAAATCAGATATGGAAGGAAATTTGCAATTAGTACTTGGTATCAGTGAAGATTAGATTGGCTTCACAGGACACAAAACACAGGAGACAGTGGCTTAAATGAGATAGCTATTCATTTCTCTGCCACATCACTAAAGCCAGGAAGAAGGCGGTTCTGTCTCACTGTTACGCACCTGGGCTCCAGTTCTGCCTTCTCCTTTCACCTGACTCCTGGATGACTTTTGCTTCATAACCCAGGGTTACTGCTTGAGCTCCTGTCTTTACATCTACTCTCTGTCTGGCAGGAAGATGAAAGGATAAAGAGGTTTCTTTGAAGGACTTTGCTTAGTCCTTAAAGTGCTCCTTTATTTAGCAGGAGGGTACAGTCAATGGCCTGTAGTGAGTGCCCAATACTTTGGATAGCACTGAACATTATATATATTTTTCTTACATATTACCCATGATGGAGTTTAATTTATGAATTAAATCTATAAGTGGATTAGTAATAGAATAATTTTAACAATACACTGTAATATCCATTATGTAAATATGGTCTCTCCCTCTTCTTGGACTGTATTGCAGAGTTTAGCAACCCTGACAGATGATTTTTTTCTTTGCCAGTTCATTTGAGAACTTTCACCTTTTCACTGAAAGAAACACTTAATGACTTCCCTTTGATATAGTTGAGTTACCAGCAGCACAATTCTTATTCTTTGAAGGCATTTTTAAGTAAAATAAGAGTTACTTTAATACAAGGACTGCAGTTTCACAACAGTTGGTCTGAGAACCAAGACTGGTACTCAGGGGCAGGTAACATTCCAGTGTGGACGGTGTGAACGAAGAGATGGTTCAAGTCCCAGGATGGACAGAGTGTGAGAGTGTGACATGTCATCATGCTACTCAAAATGTATGAAATGTATGACTATTTAGTCCTAGGATTTTCCACTTAATATTTTTAGGTTGTGGTTGGCCACAGGTACTCAAAAGTGTAGAAAACAAAATAGGTATAAGAGGGCTCTTGCACTCAGCAGTACCACTTGTGGTCTCATGGTGGCAGGCATACTCATTCATATGGCATTGCCTGGCTGCACGGGAGGCTGGAAAATCCAGTATTTATTCTGCCCACAGAAACGAGCAAATAAAAGAATTAAAGGCTGAGGAGAGCTGACACTGGCAGAAACCCAGCAGTTTCCAGCACACCTTTCTCCTTTCTATTTCCTGTTGCGCCACCGTCAAGCTACGGCTCAGGACAGCAACCTTTTTTTGTTTGATTTTGTCACCAGGAACCCCAGAAAGGGTAGTTCAGTCTATTAAGGAAGCTCAAAGTATTAGGCAGGTAAATATGTTGATCTTCTGGTTTCAGAACTGAAGCCTCACCCAGTCACCTCTCTGTCACTTTCCTGTGTGGTCACTGTGGGTATCTGGGAGCAGATTTTGAAAATTCTTGGTTAGATTACCATTGGGGTCCTTCCAGGGGTAACTTCTCCCAGCACTTAACTAGGCTGTGCACTCTCAAATCTCCACCCGGTGAACCAAACAGACACCCACAAAGGTGGAAAAAGAATCACAAAGCCAGCCCTCCACAGAGCACTCACCTTGTGTCTATCTGACACAGTACTGAGTTTGGGTCTTTTAGTGACCATGGATCATGCTCTAACTCTTTTATATTCTTCTGTTACAAGGGCAAGAAGTATATTAAACAGTCCAAAGTACCAAGTGCCATAACAGCATGATAGTGGAATAATCATGTCCCTGCCAGAACATACTGCTGTCCTAGTCCCTGGAGACTATAAAGGTGACCTTATTTACAAATAGGGTCTCTCCAGATACAAGCAAGTTATAACGAAGCCATTGGACTCTAGCTGAGGCCATTAATGTGGCCCTAATCCAAAATTACTCTGGGAGAGAGAGAGAGAGAGAGAGAGAGAGAGAGAGAGAGAGCCACTACAGGAGGAAGTCATGTGGCCACAGAGGCCAAGATTGGACCCATGCCATGTATCTACAAGCCAAAGAATTTCAAAGATTGCTGGCAACACCAGAGATGAAAAGAGTGATCCAGAATAGTGCTCTTCTAGAGTCTTTGAGGGAGCAACATCCCATTTCTCCTTGAGGTTGCTTTAAGGGATCCTGTTTGCAGTGTATTCTTACAGCAGCTCCAGGAAGCTAATAGAGGTGGGTCAGTATGATGTGTCAATGTGGCGAGGCTCTATAACCCTCCATTAATCAAACACTAATATCATTGTTGCTGTGAAAGTATCTGTGGATGTGATTAACATGTACAACCAGTTGACATTCAGTCAAGGAGATTATCTGGTGGACCTGACTCAAACTGATGAAAGGCCTTAAGAGCAGAACTGAGGCTGCTCTGAAAAACCAGAAATTTTGCTCAGGATGGCAGCTTCGGCTGATACCCAAGAATTCCAGCCAGCTCTTCCTACTGGCCTGTGCTATGGGTTTCAGACTTGCCTAAACAGCCCTGACAATTGTGTAATTTCTTATGATAAATCTCTTTTTGTATCTCCCCCTGGTTCTTTTTCTCCAGTGGAATTCTGACTGATACACAGATGATGCAACCTTGAAATACATTTGCCTAAAAAGACTGTGGAGTGGCTGAAGACTCTGGGGTACCAGGTGGACAGGGCATTTCAGCGTGTGTAAAGCTGGGGAGGTGGAGCCTACCTGGCCTGTCTCCTCCCCCAGTGGCCGGAGAGATGCCCTGCAGAGTTTACCTTGATTACATTCCGCCTTCAGGAAACAGCCCTACTACTCCAGTTTTGGCACTATTAAATATTCCTTGCACCCTAATGGCTCCAAGCCTAGGGAACTTAACACTAGCAGATGGCTTGGGGTGTGTGAGATCATGTGTGTGGATGCATGTTTTTCTCAAGGGATAGTTTATTCCTTTGATGGCTTCCTCTCTCTCTTTCTTTGTATCTGGGATTGAACTCACGACCTCATGCTTGCCAGGCAGGTGCTGTGCAGCTAAGCTATACCCCTGGCTGATAGGTTTCCTGGAGGTCTCCCTAAAGTGCCAGATAGGAGGCCAAGCGAGGCTGTGCAGTTCCAAGGCTCTGTGAAGCAGCGGAGAGGGCGGGCCTAGGTCAAGAGACAGCCTCACTGCGCCTCCGTCTTCCCATCAGTAAAATGGAGTGGATCAGCCCACCGACTCCCATAAGTGGTCAGTGTGGGGATCTGCCAGGGGAATGGCAGTAACACCATCGCCCCTGCTGAGTGCACTCTGCCACCATTCTCAGAGAATGATGGAGTGCAGCGCCCACCTAAGCGTCTCCCTAGGTTATCCTGCTAATGACACAGCTCAGTGCATGGCACCCCAAAGGTGCCAGTCGCCGCCTGCTCACATGCCGACCCTCAGGTGGAGCAGCGCCCTCCCGCAGCGGCGGCCGGAGGAAGGAGGCGGGGCGCAGGTGGGGCGGGCCGGAGGCGGGGCGGTGCGTGGTTCCGGGATCCGGGTCGAGCCTCCGCCGCGGGGTGCGCAGACCGCTGGCGGCAGCTGGCTGGCGCATGTTGGGGTGCTTGACACGACGGCACTGGCCGCGGAGGCTGCGGCGCGGCCGAGGGGCGTTGCTGGCTGTGCTGGCCCTGCTGGCGCTGGCCGGGCTAGGCGCGGTGCTGCGGACTCGGCGTGGGGCCGGGGCCGCTCGGCAGGGACCCCAGCTCACTCGGCGACCCGGGCGCCTGGAGCCAGTGCTGCCGCGGCCGCCGGTCCCCCCGGACGCGCTAGGCGCGCAGGGCGAGGCGGTGAGGCTGCAGCTGCAGGGCGAGGAGCTTCGGCTGCAGGAGGAGAGCGTGCGGCTGCACCAGATCAATATCTACCTCAGCGACCGCATCTCGCTGCACCGCCGCCTGCCCGAGCGCTGGAACCCGCTGTGAGTCGGCGGGCCGCGGGCTCGCCACCTGCGAAGTGGCGGGGAAGCGGGCGCGCCCTGCTGCGTCTGCCGCGGAAGTGAGCAGAGCAAAGGCTCAGCTCGGGCGTGGGGAGGCGGGAATTTTTTTTTCTTTTTAACAAACCTTGGGAGATCTTAGAAATGGACCTGGTAATGTTACCAGGTAGTCTCTTGGCTCCCTCTCCTGTGAAAAGTTGTCACTTTCAACAAACGGGTAGGGGTCAGGGCTGAGCATGTGTAGGGCGAGACCCCCTTGTGGGCGTCCCTTAACCTCACGCCGCCCACGATCAGCTCCAGTCTTCCGGAGTGCCTGTGTCCCAGTGAAGCTCTTGGGCAGAGCGGGCTCCCAGCATCCGCCTGGGTATGGCCGGGCTACTGAGTGTGCTAGAGAGAGCCGGCTGGGGAGGTGAAAGTGGTGGTTAGTTCAGGTCCCAGGGGAAAAGCCGCCTTCCCTCCCCGGGGCGGGAGGGAAGCTTTGGGTGGAGGGCTGGAGGGGAACGGTTAGTGGGTGGGAAGGGCTCTTTGGCTGCAGCCCAGCCCGACTCCCTCTTGGGGGTGGCGCAGGCTTGGAGCCAGTGCGGTCAGAAGCTTGGTTCCTGTTCGAGCTGCTGGCAGGATGGTTGTGCCCCTGCCTAGATGAGGGCCAAGGACCAAGCTGGTAAGCAGGAGGACGCTCAGGTGGTTTCTGCGGTTGTCCATGGGCCGCCTGGTGTTTGTTCTTTTCTTTGACTTGTTGGGGTTCTTCCAGTTAGCTCTGGAAAAAGACTTGGGGAGAATGGGGCTTAGAAAGGGGCCAGGGGACACTGCTGTGTGCATCAGGTACGTGGCACCCCCTGTCGCTGTGTGTGCCTTGCTTTACAGGGGTGGAAATAGGTTCAGAGGAGATAGTGACTCACCTGATTGGAAGATGGTGGAACCTGCCGGGGCACTGTGACCCTCCTGGTCCATGGACCCCAGCTGATCTCATGCAGAGTTTAGATGGTCTTCAGCTTCGTGTTGTCCTGTTTTTTCAGTACCTGCTCATGCTTAGCCACCATATTTTTGCTGAAGATGTTCTTCATTGTTAAACGTTTTCAATAAAACTGTTGAGATTTTCCCCACTTCAGCCTAATGGCTTAGCTCTTGGAAACCCCCAAGGTGCTCTTTGCTTGGTCCAGGGGAAGCTTTTAGTTCAGACCAGGGTAAACACCCAGGTCCTGTGAGACACCATTCTGGGGCTTTTGCTTCAGCTGAGTGATCTTGAGCAAATGATGTGAGCTTCTCTGAGCCTCAGTTTCCCAGTCTGTCAAGCAGGAAGGAAATTCAAATGCCAGTCTCCTTACACTCTACATAAAAGAGGGTAGAAAGAACACAGCCTAGGAATTAATAAAGCACTGACACCTGAGAACACAGTGTACTCATTCTTGATGTTTTCTCCTTTCCTTGTTGCCACCAATATACTCAGGAAATTGCTTTTGAGAGTTATCCGGGGGTTGGTCATAAGTTTTGCTTTTCAGGATCCAACTTCCTTTATTGTCCAAGATTGTGAATATCTCTTTGAAATATTGCAGGTCACCTGTGGGGCTTAGTGTATCCTGTCTCCTTGGTGATTGCGGTTGCCCTGTGTCCTATGAGGATTTTCAAATAGACCTGTGATTGCATTGACCATGGGAAGTTAATCTAAACCCAGCACGATGGGCATGCAACTCCCTTGCCTCTAGTTTCTGCAGCTAGGCCTATTGGGTTATCTTCACCCAGCACAAGAGAAAGGTAGGGTCTCAGCTACCCTAGGCATAGCTAGGGCATAGTTTGAGGCATAGTTGAGGTGTGGTTTTCTTGTGATCAGTAAGCCTTGTATGGAGTCTCACTTGTGTTGTTCAGTAGTCTCTTCTTATCCTGGAGAGGTAGATCCCCAGATTCCCAGTGAATGCATGAAACCTTAAGACAAAACCGAACTCTGCCAAGCACTATGATACCCTGATTATCAGTCTGATAACTGAGATGGTTGCTAAGTGAGAAGTGTATATAGTGTGGATATGCTGGGCAAAGAGGTGCTTCATGCCACAGGCAGTAAGAGATTTCAACATGCTACTCATTTAAAAACTTATAAATTGTTTACTTCGGAAAATTTCCTTTTAATATTCTTGGACTGTGGTTGACTGGGTATTATGGTTTGTGTCTGGATGTCCTCTCCCTCATGCAGGCATGGGGGCCACCTTCTAGAATTTGTGACTGATTCATAGTCCAATGCTGGGATTCTGGGTGTGAGTGCAATACACACTTGAGGGTAGGTGTGTCTACATATGATATAAAAGACAGAAAGAGTCTTTGCTCGTGCTCCTCCCTTTTGCTGTTTGTGCTTTTACTGTCTTCCACCGCCATGAACTGTTGCTCTCCTGTCATACCGCCCTGCCTTGGTGTCAGCTGATCATGGACTGAAACCTCCACAGACTGTGAGCTAAATAAACCTTTCCTTCCTTCATTTTGGGTGTTGAGTATTTTGTCCCAACAACAAGATAAAAGTAACTGAGACACTGGGTAACTGAAGCCACAGAGTGAAGTTACAGATACAATAGGACTCCTTTTGTTGTCACATGGGTAAGGAACGACCAGGAGTCTTGATAGTGGGAGAAACTAGAATGGCAGATTAAGAGTTTTTGCAGTTCAGGGTTGGGGCCTTCCAGGAGTCTTAATTAATAAGCAGAGGGGAAATCTGAGTCCCTGAGTATCAGAGGAGGACAGGTGTTGAGGGGATATCCATTTAAGCCACATCCTGGAAGTCAGCAGATCTGGGGCACAAGTGGCCTGCAAGCCACATCCTTTATTTGTTCCTGTGGTTGGCACAATTATTTACCTGTTTATTTTAAATTATAAGCACTGCATATTTGCTGTAGAAATTTTAGCAGAGACAGAGGACCAAAAAAGAAAAATCATCAATTAACCTACCACCCAGGGAGAACCATTGTTAATGTATTGCTGTGTATCCTTCTAAACTTTCCCAGGTACAGAAATAAGTTTTGAAAAATATGCTTATTGGTGTGTGGGTGAGAAAAGACTCCAACACTAGTATGTATACACACACTTTCTTAACGGCAATAGGAAACCTACTGCCCCAGAGGCAAGGTGTTGGGCATGACTTCCTAGTATCTGCAAGGCTTGGTGCCACGTATGCCCCTGGGACAGGGCCTGACCACTAAAGAGACGTTTTGGAGTGCTGACTTTCCTACAAGACCTGGGTGGACTCTTATTATTTCAGACGCACCACTCTGTCGCTATCAGTTGTGGTACTGTGGAGAAGGCGCATACGTGATGGGGTACTTTACTAAGTACAGGGTTTGCAACACTTTGACAAATACCTTCTCATTTGATCCTAGTAAGAAGGCGGGGAACGTTACTCCAAGATGATAGCAAACCGGTATAGAGAGGCAGCTAGCTAGGTTCGCAGCCCTGGGGAACTTTTTAAATAATGTTGATGCCAGGGACCTCCCCAGAATACTGAAATCTGGATTTGTGTGGGTAGGACCCAGGCTGAATGTGATACATAGGAGTGGTTGAAAGCTGCTGGCTAGGGTCTGTGGATTTCTGACTCAAGAGAGTTAGGAGGGATGCTTTTGAGGATGGGAGGAGATCCCAAAATTAGAGCAAGTAGGGCCAACAATAGGTCAAGTGCCACTGAAGCTAGTGATGGCGTCCCAGTCATTTGTCACAAGCAACTGGTGGCTAAAAATATTGGACCAAAATTTGAAAAAAAATTGATGTTCATAGCATACAGAGGCCTTGAAAGGATCACTATAACTTTGCTGCCATTTGCATTGTGGTCTGTGTAACCAGAGGTTTAGGGGAAGAGTATGCTCAGAGGTCTGTGTGTTTCCCCAGGCACATCCATGGGGTTGCTGGGTGTGTGCTCACCAGCCAGTCTCTGCAGTGTACCACTGTCTAGGAATGAACTCATACCCAGCTGTTTGCATTTGTTGACTGTTTGATCTGGTGTAAGCTTTGTGAGTGCTATAGTGGCTGAGATCAGGAATCAGAATTTGGGAGGATGGTCTCGAAGTAGCTCTCCGTTTGTAATTTGACAAAAGTATGTCCTGCCAGAGTTGGCAGGGGCAGTTGTCAGGATTTCTTTTTACAGAGAAATAGCCTGCGTGTCTGTTCCCAAACATCACATGAGGTATGGAAATTAGACTGAAGCTTTATCAGGTTTTAAATTATAGGGTATTTTGCCAGTTCATATTTGACCCACTTTGTGGTTATTAGAATGGTGTTCTTTGACTCAGTATTTTTGATCCATATAACCTGATCTATATTGGTTAATAATTTCTTCGTCTTTTCCCTTCCTTTTATTTTAACAGCTTTTGTATTCCTATGTTTAAGGTGTGTCTTTAACTAGTGTACTGCTCTATTTTGTGTTGTTACTTAAAAAAAAAAACAAAAAGACAGGACTGGGATGTTCCTCAGTGTTAGAGCAGCTGCCTAGCATGTGTAAAGCTCAGGGTTCAAACCCCAACACCACACAAACAAGATTCCAGACCGACAATCTTTACTGCTGAGTAGACATTTATATCTACTTATATCTATTGTGCTTACTGATATCATTGGGTTCAGTTATGCCATCTTATGTTATATATTTGTTATGCTGTTCTTATTTTGTCTCTTTTTTTTTTTACTGCTGCTTTTTGAGTTGAGACAGGCTTTCCCCTTCTCATTCGGTTTTCTTCTGTGCTAATTTAGCAATTTTATTATCTATTTCTTCTCTTTTGCCAGTAGAAGTCCTACATTCACCGTAAAAATAGTTCTTTTTAATATATTATTCTTTTGATTAACAGTGACCACATACCCATTGCTGACTGATTTAAGTGCAAAGAGAAGATAGTCTAGCATAGAAAAGTCCAGGATTAGAAACAGATTTACTAATTATGAGCCCTGGATCCAGGGTGAGAATGCTGCCAGATGGAAATGTTGATTGGCCAGGTTCGAGGCACTGTCTTTGCATAGATCAGTGTGTGTGTCTGTGTGTGCGCAAATGTGTTTGTGTGCTCAGTCCTGTAAAAACCATATAGATCGAGCCAGGGAGGCGTGGTTCCTAAAAGAGAAATCTAGACACAGGCTCATGAAGGGGAAGGATTTGGAGCAGGTAAAACACACAAATGCACCTTAGAATCTTCTTTACCTATTCTAGAGAGAATGTGGGTTTTTGTTATTTTTCTAGAAGACATTTTTGTGATAGCCATAACATAAGAATAGAAGAGGATCAGTAGGCATTTCTGGAATCCATTCATTTGTACCCATCCAAAATACAGACCTGTGATGCTAGTGGAGATTGTTGTGGTCCCTACCCAGTAGGACTGTGGTGAAGCTGGGTGGACCCCTGCCTGTGAGATCTTAGCATGCTGCCTGTTGTGTGGTGGGGACTTGATGAATGTGACTGTATAACCCAGCATAGTAGAGGCATAACTTAATCCCTGCCTTCACAAAGGCGGTGATATGATGGCAGATAAACTTGGCATTACATTTAGCTCTGAGCTTCTTCCCAAGGCACAAATGGAGCCCTAAAGTGGTGGATAGCTGTCTTGTAATCAAAGGGTACCGAGCCCTTTCTCAATGCGCGGCTTTGTTTCAGTATAGGAAAAGACAATGTTCTTTCTGGAAGGAAACTTAGAGACATTTGGTAGGGTATGTTGAACTTCATAAAGGAGCTTTAGACCAGCCAGCTATTAGGAAACGGTTTTAAGAAAGATAAATTGTCCAAGGCCAAGGAAAAGGAGAGGGCTGAATGTTTAATTATGGTCAGTGAAGGTATTTAAAGAAAAATGACTCGGCTTTTTAAAATTCTTTTCTTGATGATAAAAATTGCCCATGTTGATTGCAGAACAAGTTTTTTTTTTTTGCAGAGCAATTTTAAAATGCAGAAAATAAGAATCAGAGATAATCCCACTTTTTGGAAATCACCATTGATAACATTTTTGGTACGGTTCTATCTATTGTTTATATGTGAGCGCATGCACACACATTGTTATTTATAGCACTGACTGTTTCCAGATTTGTACTCTGCTTTTTTTGATTTCACATTATAGTGTGACTATTCTCTTTTATCATTAAATGTTCTCTGAAAATGTGTCTGGCAGACACTAGCATTTCTTCACCCATTTGTTCTGCACTTTGTTTCTTTCTTGTTATGATATGGTAGCTTTTTGCTGCTATAAGTCATATTATTGAGAATATATTTGTGCAACAAGCCTACTTCGGGGTATAATTTCCTTAGGCAAGACATTCTTCAATATAGTGATATGAGATCACTTTTTAGAGCTTTGAATATGTGTTGCCAGGTTGACAACTAGTTCTCCTATGATTTAGGTGTCACAAAGGAGGAGGACACTAATCATGCTAGGGCAGTGTCTATACTTTTGAGTTTGATAGAGCAGCCAAAAAAACATAAACAAATACAGTTGAGGGCTGACGTATGATTCCAACTCTGTTTGGTCAAGCAGAGAACAGATATATTTAATCCAAAACAGGAAGGGTGTGATCCAGACTGAAGGACAGTGCTTTTCATTGAATATACTACTTTGAAAACCTCTCTTCACCATCTTTCTTTTGGCTTACTTCTTCTTGAACTTGATCAGTTTGAAGCTAGGTTTTAGCTATATCTCTTTCTTTTCTTTTTTTCTGAGACAGGGTCTCACTGTGTGGTTCAAGCTGACCTTGGGCTCACTTTGTAGCTCACACTGGTCTCGAACTTGCAACAATCTGCCTACCTCAACCTCCAGAGTGCTGGCATTATAGGAGTGCACCACCACGCCCTGCTGCTAATATGTTTTTAAAGGTTAAAAAAAAATCCTTATTTGTAGGTTTATAAAACACTTTTTTTCATGTAAGTGTGTTAGCTTTGAATTCTTTAACAAATATCCGAGATAAGAGCAACTTATAAAAAGATTTATTTTGGCTCACAGTTTGGGGAGTTTTAGCCTGTGACCAGGTAGCCCTGTTTCTTTGAGCCTGTGGCTGGATAGCGAAGTAGGAGTGAGGGACAGAGCAAACTGGTCAGTCACCTCGTGGCTACGAACCAAATAGAGAAGAGGCTGGAGCCCCACATCTTCTTTGAGTTGACCCAGTGCATTGTGCCCCAACTCTCAATGGTCCTACCACCTTTCAGTAGTACCAGGGTGGGGACCAGGCCTTTAACATGGGGGCCTATTCTAGATCCAAACTATAGCAGTAAGTAATTTCTTTCTGCAGTTCCTAATGGGCTATGATTCAACATGGTAGCGTTTCTCTGTGTGTTCTGTCTGCAGGGACTTAATAGTCCAGACACATTTGTTAATATTTTTATATATAGACGTATTTGATCTGTCACCCCACTTGTTCAGAAAGGCATTGCTGTAGCTGTGCTAATAGCTGGCTGGTCTTCAGCTCCTTTCTGAATAATTCTAGCTGATCCTGCCACACCCCAGTGTTCAAATGCTAATTCTTCTGTTCCTGTGGTATCTTTCTCAGCTTGCCTTTAGCTATGTCCTGCTGATAATTTCTAGGCACAGCTCTTAGTCAGTCTGGGAGTTGTAATCAGTCACTCTGAGGATAGAATTCTGTGTCAGCGAGGGAGGGAAACCTTTCACAGCTGCTGTGAATGTCACTAAACAAACACGGAGCCTATTGGTTTCCTGTAACTGCCAGTCAAGGCCCCTTGAAGTTGGGTGGGCCGAGCCTCACCTCTTTGCCGTCTGTCTACCGCAGCATGAAGGAGTAGGGAGGGCTTGAATACTGGGAGGACTCTCTGCAGAGCCCTTCCCAGATGTTTGTTTTAGCCACAATTCAAGTATATATATTTAGCACCTCAGCTTTGTGCAAACAGTCACTGCCCAGGCTGCTGGGGAAAAGTAGGGAGGGGCAAGAACATGAGTAGTGGGAACCCTATGAGGGGTACCTGGTGAGATTGATGGGGTGTGTGCTAGTGGTGCATTCAGGGGCCAGCACCTGCCTAAGACAGGTCTGGGGATTCCCAAGGAGAGCTGTGCATCTTCTGGAGGAGGACAGGGAGTATACCGAGTAGAGAAGGGAGCAGAGGGTGTGCCAGGTGGAGGGGACAGTGGGAGGAAAGGCCTGGAAGTGGGGCAGGAACAGACGGATTGGGGGACAAATGATAATCTTCCTTCTGATTTTGCCTAGTTCATGTATTGCTCAAATATACAAACTGCTTACAGTTTACAAACAGCATCTCACAGAGCCATGCATGATAGCACATGTCTCAAGTGCTCAGGAGCCTGAGTTTAAGGCCAGCCAGGGATACTTAGTGAGTTCAAGACCAGCCTATCTACATAGACCCTGTCTCAAAAAACAAGCAAACAAGACCAATATTCCATAGGCAAAGGTTTGAGATCATGGGGAGAATGTTCTTGGCATCCACTGGGGCTCTCGTGGCATGTGGGGAGCCTTTGGGGGAGCCTCCAGCAGACAGCTTCCCACTGTAGCCCATGACTTATGCTTGTGACTATCAATTCATCTCTAGCCTGGCTAGGGTCTCAGTTCCTGAAGTTCTGTTGTATTTATAGGTGCAAAGAGAAGAAATATGATTATGAAAATTTGCCCACAACATCTGTTATCATAGCATTTTACAATGAAGCCTGGTCAACACTCCTTCGCACGGTTTACAGTGTCCTTGAGACGTCCCCAGACATCCTGGTGGAAGAAGTTATCCTGGTAGATGACTACAGTGACAAAGGTAAGTCCCTGCAGGGGCTCTGAGCATGGCCTGGCTTTCCATGGCAATGGCAAGCTGGGACAGGCAGGCCAGTAAAGATGGGCTTCCTGCATGTTGTGTGCCTCATGGTGATCACAGGGAGGGTGATCCAAGTGCAGGAACAGCCAAGCAGAAGCTGAAATGGGTGTGGGGAGTTAATGCAGGTGAGGAGGCCGGGGGAGGACACGGCCAGATCAGTGGGGTCTAGGGAGTCACAGAAAGCCTTGAGGCTTCAGTGTGGAGAGCCATCACAGGCTTAAGGGGGCCAGGAAAGTCCCAGTTAGTCTGAAAACCATTTTTCAGGCTGCTGGGTAGCAAGCAACCCATGACAGGGACAATCTCAGGCAAGGATGGAAGTGAGGGTAGGGTGGGTTTTGGTGCACAGCAAGAATCTTGGCCCTTCTGGGACTAGAGGTGTCTGTGGAGTGACATCATCCAGTGACTCTCATGAGGAGCTGAAGTGAAGGTAGCTGAGCCTCACGGAGGAGAACCAGCAAGGGTACAGTAGCCCAACATGAACTGTGGGCTTTGTTATCACTGTTTCAAGCCAGACTACCCGAGAGGCAAGCAAGCAGCTGTGCTTCCCCAGCAGGACCTCGGGTGCATGCCATGCTTGGTCTGTCTGATTTAAGAGCTGGCATGCATGTGCTTTAATTGCCATGGGTGTTGGGCTGTTCTTGCAGACACTCAAAATTACGGTGATTCACACAAAGTAGAGACAGCACTGTCATATCACAAGACTGGTGTGACAGTTGAGGACGATGTTTGTGGGTTTGATACCTGCCCCAGCTCCTGTCCTCCAGAAGGTTGTGCTGCTTTGGTTGGTCTGGTCAGACTGGCTCCCACCCTGACCCTGTCCCAGCCAGAGGGTGGAAAAGAAGGAGATAACCTTTCTTTTTAAGGACAGTACCTGGAAATCCCTCCTTGCCTGTCCACACCTAGCTGCAAGGGAGGCTGGCAAATGTAGTCTTTATCCTGGTAGTCATGTGCTAAACTAAGGATCAGGGAGAGAATGGGGATTAGAGGACAAGTAGCAGTGTTGGAACACCCAGGCTGGAGTTTGGTACTGAGTGGAACCTCATAGGCACTGAACTATGGGGTCAGGGTACCTGGATTGCAAGAGGCTTCACCATGATCCAGTTGTGGCAATGTGGGTGATTCTTGTCTGCTCTTAGCCTCAGTTTCTCACTTGTGACTGGGTTTATCTATACCTATGTCAGTGTTTCAGTGAGGAATAAATGAGGACTGAACTTCATGTAGCAGGCAGCACATAGTAATTAGTTTTCTACATTTCCTTTTTCTTTGCCCCTGGGGCTGTTGAAATCTGTTTGTAAATGCCAGTTGTGGATGACACTGCATGGACCTGAATCCCTCCTGCAACAGCTAGTGACAGTACAGCTTTGAGCAGTGTCTTTAATCACTTTCCACGTTGGCTTCAGCCCCTATTAATGGGAATAAGAATAGTTCTTACCTTGTGGGATTGGTGCAAGGGTTAAATGAGGTGAAATGGGTAATGTGTTGGTTAGTGCCTAGCAGAGAGGTAGCTTTGGTTAAATGCGAGCTTCTATTTTTATGAAATATTGTGAAAACTATAAAATATAAATATTAATATAAAACCAAATATAGGTGTATTTGTGGGATCAGGAGCCCCTCAGCAGGTGGAAATAGGGGACAGTATGTGCTGCCTCTGCAAAGTTCATTCTTGCCACCTGTAGGGCTGGATGGACCAAGCCCTCCCTTCATCCCCTGGTGGTGACATTGGGCAGGGAGGGGCCCAAGGGCCTGCACTGAGTTCCGCAGTGCTGCCTGCCACCTTGCTGCTTTCTGCAGTGTCAGAATGAGCTTTATAAGGGAAGCAGCCCCCAGATGCAGAGAGATGGCTTCAGCAGATGAAATTAACGCTCACAAAAAACTATCGTGAATGCAAGGAGACTGCTTATGTGTTCACAAGTATTCACCAGTCCCGCAGCTAACTAGCTTTGCTTGCAGAATCACTGCCTTTATTCTCACCATCAGCTTTTTGCAGTTATATTTAGGATTTAGAAAGAAAACTGGTGAATTTTTAAGTGTCAGGATATTTAGAGAAGCATTTTCATAAACAATGAAGCAACCAAGACTATCTACACCACTTTGATGGTTGAGAACTTGGAGCCAGTGCTCACACTGGTGTAGGGAAGTTCTCGCCTTTTCCTTTCACCTGAGTGGGTTCCCACCTGCCTTCCCGACCCACTGAGGTGTGGCTCGGTGGAGCCCCAGTCCCAGAGTCCCACCTGTGAAGCCAGGAGACCTGGTGGCCAGCGTTCCCCAAGGACATACCCTCTCAGCTCACTGCCTTTTCTGCACACTGGCAAGAGTGCACACTCCTGGCAGATGTTGATTTTTTAATAAGGATGAGAAATTATGGGAGAAAGCACTGGGGCCAGTGTGTAGCTTGTGGAGTCTGGAATCATTATTTCGATTTAAATTGTGTCTCCTCAGCTTGCTTGCTCTGTGACCCTGGGCAGGTTACTTAGCCAACGTTCATCTATGGAATGAAGATAACACTGGAGTTCACCTCACAGTGGCAGATGGTGGGAGGGTGGAATGGGGATGTGCAGTGAGTGATTAACTCTTCAAGAAGGAGAAGAGAGGGGAGACACTGGGTCCCAGCACCCCTGCACAGAGAGCATCACTTAGCAACCTAAGACCTCCTGTTAGGTCTCACCTCCCCAAGATTCTACTGCCTCCCAATGAACCAAGCCTTTAGTCCCAGTGCACCCCTGAGGATGTAGACTGTTATAGTCAGGGTTTGCAAGGAAAACAGGTTAGTACAGGACACATACTTTATAGGCTTATTTTATAATAGTCATCCAAAGAATCAAATACAAAAAGTGCAGGAAATGTGTCTATATTAAAGACCCCAAAAATCCAGCTGAGAGCCTGCGTAAGTTCAGGCTGAAGACTTGGAGCCCATGAGAATGCCCTCCTACAAGTCCAGCTGGATGCCTCAAGCCCATGACAATGATTCATGCAAGTCTGTTTCACGGATCTGTGCTGGGAAAGCCCAAATGTCAGAGGTGGAAGCTAGAAAGTCTGTGTCAGCAGGCTGAGGATCTGCACTGGAGCCAAGAAGCAATGCTCAGAATAAGGACCAGGGCTCCTTCAAAGAGAACCAGAGCCATCCTCTGTGACAAATGAGGTCCTGAGCTCCCCCGAAGATGAGAACAGCCAAGTTTCTATCAGGAAACCAGCGTGACAACCTTCTCCAGGAGATTGAACAGCATACATCTTCCCCTCCAGAGCCAGGAAGAGATGCTCAGAGTAAGGCTGAGAGCTCCCCCAAAGTGAACCACAGCCATTCTCAGCAACAAGGTCTCCTCCGATGATGAGAATAGCCGAGTTCGTAGTAGGGAAGCCAGCATGACAAGCTCTCCCAAGAGAACCAACAGCACTGTTTCTTCCTCTCCAGTTCTCTTTTCTATGCTGTTTGCAGCAATCTTCAGGTGGGCCTGGTACACCTGGCACACACTGACTCAGCTCAACTGGTGTTACACATTGCCCACTAGCTACCGATCCATCACATTGACCATATTCACAGCATTGCAGTTTAATGGTTTGTGTGTTTAGTTTTTAAGTGTTTACAAGTGAGGCTATAAAGCATTTTTGGTATCAGCTTCATTATGATATGTTCAGGTATCACACCATTCACCTATTTAGAATATAAAATTCAAAATGCACGTGTTTTGTTAGGGGCAGATGGTTCTGGAATTCCTGTATCCCAGCCTCCTCGGAACATCATAGCACTTCCGATGGTTTTGGGTGAGCTGAGGCCTCCCCAGTGGCAAACAAAGGAGGTGCATGTCTCTTCTATCTTCTGGGGACAGGGAGCCCCTGGAAGGATCCTCCTTGGTGGAGGTGCTCTGAAGGAGCTATCACAGTGACCCTTGCTGCTCTGCTTGTCCCCCAGAACACCTGAAGGAGCGCTTGGCCAACGAGCTTTCAGGCCTGCCCAAGGTGCGCCTGATCCGCGCCAGCAAGAGGGAAGGCCTGGTGCGAGCCCGGCTGCTGGGGGCTTCCGTGGCCAGGGGCAACGTGCTGACTTTCCTAGACTGTCATTGTGAGTGCCACGAGGGGTGGCTGGAGCCACTGCTGCAGAGGTACGTTTAGGGTCTCACGTTGTAGTTGAGGCTGACCCCTTACTGACTGTAGCCCAGGCTGGCCTTGAACTGATAGTGCCGTGTCTGCCTCTATCTCCTGCATGCAGGGAGTATGGGTGTGCACCTCCATATCCTGTCTGATCTTCCCACTTTTCAGGAATAAATGTCGTTATGCATTTCTTTCAAGCAGGACTCACTTACCTTTCACCAATAAGCGCCATGCAGTGGGACCTACAGTGTCTCCTGCTTTTTCTCCTGCGGTCCTTGGCCTGACACCCAGAGCCTTGCATATGTTAGGACGAGCATGCTGCTGCTAAGCCGTTCCCTTGCTCTGCAAAAATGTTTTTGTGTTAATTTGTTTAAATCAGAAGGAAACATTTGACATATTATCATCCCATATTATGAGTTTATGTTTTTCCTTATTAATGTGATTTTTTTGGCTTTGAAAAATTTTTCTGTTCACACTTGCTTGTGGTGTGCATGGTTACATCATCACGGCGAGTAGGTACTGCATATATACATAACATATCCTGATTCCTATGAGTGGGTTTATGATAATGAATGTAGCCTGCATTATATTTATCTCCATACCACGTAACGATCAAGTATACTTGGAAGTGTGCACGTATAGGGAGTAGGGGCCTGTGAAAGCCATTCTGTGGCCCTGTCTCTGAGGCCATTTCCCCAGCCACTCTTACTATAGCTTTTTACCCACCTTTGTTCTCTTCTGTTTCCTCCCCTCTCCAACTTCTGCCAAGGACAGGAGCTTGGCTGGCAAACCAAGAGCTGACCTTGAAGTGGGAGGAAGCTGTCAGGGGGTCTCTGTTCAGCTCCTCTTCTGTGGGACTGGCGAAAGGCCTGAGGGTCAGGAAAGTCCTGCAGCTGAGAAACGTGGCATCTGAGGCTTGGCTGTTTGCATATCTGAAGGAGCTGAGTTCCCGTCCCTTCCTGTTCTAGGTGAGACCAGGCTGCTTGCTGCTCCGCTGTAAGTGGAGAAGGTCCTGCTTCCTTGTCCCCTCTGGCTGCCATGACTGCCTCTTTTGTCCTGCTTGGCTCTAACGGGCTGCAGCAGCAGCAAAGACTCAGGGCTCCTCGAACCTGTCTGAGGTCATTTGGAGTATAAAGATGTCTGGAACGTGGGGCAGACTCCCTTGTCCAGTGATGTGTACTTGGCCATTTCTAGGCTAGTTTGAAGCTTTTGGGGGAGATCTGAGGAGACCCTTTTCCTCCTGAACTGAGGTGCTAGTGCTGTGTAGAGTCCCACTGCGGCAGTGCCCATCCCCTCCCGTGACAAGACCTTGCTCCACACCTGTGTATGCGGTTTTCCCAGCCTGGCCAGCCGCTGGACTTGCCTAAATGTGCTAACACTTGTTCCTGCAGCAGATTGTTTGAGATGCATAGGAGTGGAACCTAAGAGTCTAGATGTTTCCGGAGCTTTCTGGGGACTTTGGTGTGAACCTAAGTTGAGGTATGTCAGGCTGTAGACTGTGCCTCAGACAGACTCAGTGAGGAGCAAGGACCTTTCTCTCCAGGAGATTCTGGAAAACTAAGAAGATGTTTTTAGTTGTCTTATCAGCCAGGTAGTGCTCCTGATAGTAAGTGCTAGGAATGCCAGGTTCCTGCAGCCCAGTGCAGGTCAGCCCTCCAAGGAAGGTTCCATCTTGACACCAGGAGCATCCCTGGGGACCCATGTTCCCTACTCATGATTCAGAGTCCTGTCCACCAGGCCTCCCCTTTTGTAAAAATTAGGCTACCCAGAGTTCCAGCCAGCTTGCTGGCAGGTTATGAGTTCCTGGGGACTTGGTCTTTTTCAGGGGCCAGGCAGTATGTTGGAATCTGACCAAGAGGTCTGTGGTCCACCTGCTTAGCCCTTGTGACCATGTCACAAGTTTATTTTAAGAAGTATGTGTTGGTGGATACCCAGTCTGCAGCTGGTTTGATTTGGTGACCTTATAGGTTTGAGTCTGTGTCTTATCTAACTTCTGCCGAAAGATGCAATTTCCCCCAAAATCACGAATCCTACAGTGGTGTAGTGTTTATAACACCTCCTCTGCCTTGCTGGTGTTATCCTGGGTGCTTACAGCTTAAGGCTGGATAACTGTTTCATCGTTTTCTGTGATGTGAGCATCAGGACTTTCAGGTTTCAAATGTGAGATAACACCATCCTCCCCAAATACCCTGGAGAGATCTCATCTTTATGAGTGGTCCAGTCTAGAGTCATCTTCCCTGTGGCAGCATCAAAGGCACAGAAGCACAGCCAGAGGGCATGCCAAAGGTGGCTGGGTTCATAGTGATGTGAAGACCTTGGCTGAGGCGTACGCAGGAGGATGCCCACGTCTGGAAGTTACAGCATTGTTTGCTACATGTTCTGTGTCACAATACTGAGAGTGAAAAGAGCAGCAATAATTGCAGTTTCTCTGCCAACCGTCTTTATACATTACCCTGGGGATCTTCATGTCAATCGTATGAGCAGAGGTTATCATTTCCGTGTGACCAGAGCTGTTGGCTTCTGAGAGGTCAGGTGAGTTAGCTAATGGCACCCAGCAAGTGAGGAGCAGGAGCAGAATTTGTCAGCTAATGCAAAACTGACCCTTTGGTCTGGGTGCATCTCTGGGCTTAGGGAGCTGATTCTTTCTTGACGTTAAGATGTTTCCTCAGGATTAATCCTCTTATGCTTCTGAAATATTAAAAATGTACTTTCTGTTTTAAAAGTCGCCTTTGGTTTTTCCATATCTTAACTTTCACAGAGAGTTTCAGACAGAATGTTTAGTCAGAATGGCCATGGAGAGAAGCAGAATATTGAAGCCATGAGACTTTTCTCTATTAAAGCTCCCTTCCCCATTCCCCAGCGTCCACTATGATGGTCACCTGCCACCCCACCTCCCAACACACAGCTGGGCACCCTGGAAGAGGGAAGCTGATTTCTCCCCCAGGGTGGAGGATGAGGGGAGCCCTTCCTTCCGGGAGGCTGAGTGGAGCCCTCCCTTCTGGGAGAAGGAGGGGCGCCCTCTCTTCTGGAGGCTGAGGGGCACCTTCTCCCCTCCTCATTGTGCTGCGCTTACCGCAGAGGTGAGCCGGGTGTCTGGGCTTTGTGCAGGATCCACGAGGAGGAGTCGGCAGTGGTGTGCCCGGTGATCGATGTCATCGACTGGAACACCTTTGAGTACTTGGGCAACGCTGGGGAGCCCCAGATCGGCGGCTTCGACTGGCGGCTGGTGTTCACGTGGCACGTGGTCCCCGAGCGGGACAGGCTGCGGATGAAGTCCCCCATCGATGTCATCAGGTCAGGCTCTGCCCCCTGGGGGATGCTGTTTATAGGGTGCCTGGCTGCACCCGGCCAACGTGCCGTGAAAGTCCCGGGAAGAGACAGTAACTGTCTTCCTTCCCCACTTCCTGCTTACTACCCAGGGTGCTGGTTTCTTTTCATTCAGCATCTTTGTTATGCAAACACATTTTATATTGGTATTCATTAATTAATTCACTTAATTTGTAAAAAGGGGTAAATATACATCAATTAAAATTTACCTTTCTTTTTCTTCGATAGTGCTAGGGATTGAAGCCAGGGCCTCACCCATACTAGGCAAGTGCTTTACCACTGAACTGCATTCCCAGGCCCCTTTTAAATTTTATTTTGAGATGAAATCTCACTAAGTTGTTCAGGCTAGTCTCAGACTCTCGATCTTACTGCCTCAGCCTCCTAACGGGTTACAGGTGTGTGCCGCGGACCTGGCCTACCCCTGGGCCTTTGCTCCTGCTGGCATGCCTTCCATTTCTCTTGTTGGCCAGCTTCCTTCATCCTGCATGTGGCTCTCCGTACCTTCCTTGCCCCGGCCTCTTCTGGACCCTGCCTGGCCTTAGCTAGCATGTGTGTCTCGCACAGAGGACTTGTCTATTGGGCTGCCTGCGAGCCTGCTCAAGGCAGCAGCGTGGGAAAGTCTGTGCCCCTGGGCCCAGCCTGTTTCGGGGCACAGAGCGTGAATTTGGGGTGTGCTTAGAGATGGTGAATAGTAAGGGCTGGGGTGGGAGTGTGGCTCACCCAGCTGTAACGGCTTCTGCTGCCCCCACTGAAGCATGGACTCCTCTCCACTCTAGGTCGCCAACGATGGCTGGTGGGCTATTTGCTGTGAGTAAGAAATATTTTGAGTATCTGGGGTCTTATGATACAGGAATGGAAGTTTGGGGAGGAGAAAACCTCGAATTCTCCTTTAGGGTAAGTATTCCGGTCTTCTTTATGGATTCATTCTTAACCTGTTCTCTCCCTCTTTTCCTCCCTCCTGCCCTCCTCCCTCGCTCTCCTCTCCCCTCTCTCTTTGCTTTCTGTTCTCTCTCTCTGGCAGGATTTGCAGAGAGCCTGGCAGACTTTTCTTCCGCATCAGCAGCTTATCTCATAATTCTGAACAGTGATAGTGACGTGTGTGTCCTGTTTACTTAGTTGTTTCTGCTTTTTAAAAGTGTGTGTTTAACACTTGGGGCTGGAAACGGTTTTGCTAGTGTTCTAGTTCTTTCTCAGTCTACAGAAGGGAGGAACCGAGACCAGGAGAAGGACAATGACTTTGTCAAGGCCACTCAGAGTCAAGGCAGAGACGGGGCTAAAACCCGGGCCCAGGAGCCTTTATTTGACCCACAGCTTTGGCGCAGCCTCTTTCCTTAGCACAGTGACCTCCTTGCAAGGATACCTAGGAGAGTTGTTGGGAAAATGTGCTCAGAAGGCACATGGATGGGCACAGTCTAGAAAGTCAGATTGGAAATACTTGCAGGGAGGACAGGAATCTTTTTCATAACACCCCACCGCACTCCTGCAGAAGTGGCCCATGGAAACTGCTGAAAAATCCTGAGCATCTCAATGGCTTTTCTAGTCCATGCAATCTTATATTTTTTAGTATCAAAACTTACAATTTTAAATAATACCCTATGTGGTACTCAGTCCTCATGAGAAGAGATAATAAAGACCTTGGCCTTCCCCTGCGGCCTCACACCCTCCACTGTGAGCACCAGATGCCATGCTGGTGCCTAGTGTCCTTGGGAAAGTGAGAAGGTCGCAGCTGCAGCTGACTCTGCCCTTTGAGTTTGGGGTGTGCTTTTAATGGTCTTTCTGCCTCTTCCCTAGGTGTCAGGCCGCCCTGCCTCTTCTAGAAGCTCTCCCTCTCTTCCTTCCAAACCTCTCTTCTTCCTCGCTGCTTTCCTATCTTCTGTGGCTAGGTGACAGGTAACCAAGCCTTGCTTTGCTTAATGAGTGGGCTGCCAGTGAGGTCTCGGGGCCCCCATGAATCATGTGCATGAGCTGTTAGTGCTGGGCTTCGGGTCTTGGTTTGTCTTGGGAGTTGCTTTCTTGCTCTGCCTGCGTTCTGAGTCGTGAGCATGCTGATGAGGAAGTCCCCTGTCCCCTAGAGGCTGGGTGACTGGCGTGTCCACCAGGCTGTCTGTGTGCCCCTCTACCTCATTCCCTGCTCACTGTTCCCGCCTTTCTTCTGCTGTGCACAGATCTGGCAGTGTGGTGGGACTTTGGAAATACACCCGTGTTCCCACGTTGGCCACGTTTTCCCCAAGCAAGCGCCCTACTCCCGCAGCAAGGCCCTGGCCAACAGCGTTCGTGCAGCTGAAGTGTGGATGGATGAGTTCAAAGAGCTCTATTACCACCGCAACCCCCGGGCGCGCCTGGTGAGTCCTGCTGTCTACCCCGCCCGGCCCCATCTGAGCAACGCCGCTGACTGCCTCTCCCAGAGTGACAGCTCTGGGTGCAGAGACAGGCGACACGTCAGGCCCTCATGATAAGAGTATAAGAAGCTTTTATCCCTCTATTTATAATGATAACACACAGATCATCAAATCGTGTTCCTAGGGGCCATGTTTTACAAAGTCACCCCAAATACTGAGTTAACAAAAGAGGAGTCTGCCCCATCCTTCCCAGCAGCTCTTGGGGTTTAGATGCAGTATGGTGTGCTGCCTCTGCTGGCCAGGATGTGTGTGTCAGAGTCCAGCTTTGCACACATGACTGGGCTGCCACTTGTCCTGTGTGCATGCTGTGGGCCACCACTTGGTCATTCGGAAGCTGCTGCTCTAAGACAGTGGTGGAAAACCTATGACACAACATAGCACAGCAGGCTGTTTGTATCATTGAGAGCTCTAGAAGGTTCGCCATCACTGCTCTTAAGCTTTCTGCCAGGCTGCTTGATGGAAGTCTCCAAGTCCTTACAGCAGCCCTGCAGGAGAGCTGTCAGACTCTCATTTGATAGATGAGGAAATGGGGGCTCTGAGAGGAGAGATGTAAGGACCTGTCCAAGGCTTGTAGCTGACCGGGCAGGCCCGGGCAAAGGCCCTGCATGCTCCAGGGCACCACTTTTCTGCTCACAGAGCCCATGGGCTCTCAGCCTGACATTCCCCTCGGTTTTCTGCCTGTGGGCTCCCTGTCCTTTGCCTCTGCTCCCTCTGTCATCCCAAGTGCTGCAGAGCAAAACACCTGCTCTTCGCTGCCACCTTGTCTGGAACCCATGGCTCCCGCTCCTGAGCTTCCCAAAGAGCTTTCTAGAGGCGTGTTGAGGATACCGTTAGGCTGACTGCCCAATGGCCTGGGTGTTAAAGTGGAATTTCAGTTAAAGCTGAGGGCATGGTGTCTCTCCTCAAAGAAAGAACCGGGAAATAGAAATCTGAAATTGTATCAGATATGTACTTATTATTACCACCCTGTTCACTGTCTCATTTGTCAATGTTTAGCTGTTTAACATCATGAGATAGGGACAGATGTATTTCAGCCTTCAGCACTCTTCTTGTGGCTGCATATCGGCCATACTGAACAGATGCTTGCTTTATTTAATTGCAAGTTCTTATTGGTTTTGCCCATGAACCCAGACTTCCACAGGCATTTCCTTCTGCCGCTCTTTGCTCTTACCACCGTACAGGCGTGGTAAGTATGTGTGTACACTTGATACCTTCAGCAATACGGTTTTCACTCAAGATTGCATGTAGGATTTCCAGATACTAATAGTAAGTCACTCTGAGACTGGTGGCTCTCTGGTTGGATCTGCAGACGACATCCGTGTTCACAGGCTCCCAGTGATAGTGTGGCTCCAGGGTTTGGCTCCCTGGCTCGACAGCAACTGTTGGCTCCTACCCTTGTACACTTGGTAGTGAGATAAGCTGGGGATGCAATCCTGCTGTGCTCCTGGAAGTGCTGTGTGCCTGCCCTGAGGCTGTTTGTGCCCTCCGTGTGCAGTGCTGGGCACAGGACAGCCTCCTGTAGAAGCAAGTGTCAGTGAAGAGACGGGCCTCCGTGGGGAGCACTGGGCCCTGCAAGACTCTCTGTCTTGTCTTCCCAGGAGCCCTACGGGGACGTGACAGAGAGGAGGGAGCTCCGGGCCAAGCTCCGCTGCAGGGACTTCCGGTGGTTCCTGGAGAACGTGTATCCAGAGCTGCACGTGCCCGAGGACAGACCTGGCTTCTTTGGGATGGTGAGCAAGGCAGGCCGTAGTATGCAGGGTGTTCCTGGATCCTGAGCCAAAAAGCTGCTTCGTAGGGACCACAGGTCGCCCCCACTCCAATGTCCCTTTTACCTTTCACCTACTGTCCCTGCTTCTCCCCATGGTGCTCCTGAAGGTCCAGAGTTCCAGCTGGAAGCCATCTGGAAATGGGCAGGTGTAACCCTCCCATTCTGTAGGTGTGGAAACTGGTGTTTCCCTGGAGTTTCTGCAGCCCAGTTTTTACTATACCGCATCACATTACTTCTAGTCTCCATGGCCTGACCATTGAGGAGTCCCCAACTTTGGTGTTCACCAGGGCAATAGCGGGGTAGAAGAGTCATGCCTAGCCTTTTCATGAAACCTAAAGAAATATTTCTGGATGAGGCTAACAAAGATGTCCAGTGTTTACAGTTTTTGCTAGAAATGATACCATCTTGGTCTAAGGTTTATTTTTTTATTTTAAGGGGGGTAAAATTAAACACAACATAACAGAACAAAATAGGACATAAGAAAGCAATGTAAAAGATATAAATTTCAAAGCTAGCCAACATGAGATCTTCACTATCTATCATATTACTTCTTGTTTTCTTCCAAATAGTTGTCTATGTCTTCACATACAGAGAATTCATACAAAGCAACATAGTATAAAACTGATCTGAACAGAATGAGGAAGGCATTTTAGATCTTCAAAACCAGACAATAGGGAAATCACTAATGGCTGTCGTAGAGTCTCTCGTTCTCTTCAAAATAGCTCTCCATGCTTTCATGTATATTGAAGTTCAACAACAAAGCAGGCAGGGGGGAGGGGTTGCTGGGTTTCCCAGCGCTCTAGGTCCCAGCATGGCACGGGGCCCAGTAAACGCCGATGGCTCCCGTCCTGGGCCACCAGAGCCTGCCACTCTCACAGCTGCTTACCAGCATCTAAGGTTTGATTAGAGTTGGGATCAAGCTTTTTTTGGCAGGAACACGTGTGGGTGGTACCCCATCCTCCTGTTGTGCCTTATCAGGAGGTAAGGTCTGGACGTGCTGCCGTCAGCAATAAGACGCAGCAGTGGGGTCCCCCAGGCAGCTCCCTGCCGCCTTCTGGCAGACACCGCTTAGATCTGGCTTTGCACATGGAGTTGCCCAAGGGTGATCTTCTCATTTCTCCCATATTTATTTGCTGAATGTTGCTGTAAACAAAAATGTTCCCTCCTTAATTAAAAAAAAATGTGGTATCCAGGACGTTTAGGATTCATACAGCCCAGGCACGCCACATTCCTAAGTCCTTCTCTTCATCTGCTTATTTTCCGAATAAGAATGGGTGTTTCCTTGCCTTGCAGTTGAATCCACGGGGCTGCTTTTCTGTTTGTTGATGCTTTTGTTTTTTGTGACTCTTTCCTTCCCCAAATAAATCCGCATTGTAAACGGATGACGGTTTGCTGAAACCTGAGTGTGCCTTCCCCCTGATTCATGCTTTGCAAACAGTCCTTAGAGCAAGTGCCGGAAAGTACTTGAGTGTTGGGGCTCTGCCCTTGGAAAAAAGCTAATGCTGCTCTAGAAAGTGTTTAGGAGACTGGGCGTGCACTCTTGCGCCCTCTGCCTTCTGCTACGTGAAAATGCAGTAAAGACGCCCTCAGAGGAGCGGTGCCTTGACCAGGCCCCAGAATTGAAGAAATAAATTTCTGTTCTTCACTTTATTTCCTTATTTGCAGTACTAGGGATCTTCACACTGAGTTATATACCCAATTTCTTTTTACCTTTTTAAAAAAACTTTTGAAACAGAGGCTGAGTCATTACATTTCTGAGTCTGGCCTCAAACTTGCAATTCTCCTGCGTCAGCCTCCCCGTGTCCTGGGACCACAGGTGTGCACCACCACACCCAGCTTACATTTCTTTCTAAGTTATCCAACCTGTGGTGTTCGGTTATAGCAGCACAACACAAAGGCTGCATTTATGTGGACAGGGCATTTCAATCCATTTAGTTTATCTTTAAGAAATACTCAAATTACCCCGTCTTTGGTTAGTGGCAGCCTGTTTGTTCTGGTTTCTGTGATCTTTGATCCCGTTCCGTGGGCTTAATTCAGACCTCATCCCACACTTTTTAAATAGTCCTTCTGTTCCTCCCAAGACCCTAAGCTTCAGGTTCTGAGCCCACCATGTTGCTGCTGGTGGTGTTGATTGCTGCAGGGGTGCTGGCTGTCGACCACAGTATCCCACGGAAGCACGGTGCAAGCCTCCTGTCACTTAAAATCTTTTAGTAACCATATGAAAGAAACAAGTAAACTTAATAATACCCTGAGCCCAGGATACCCCAGATACTATTATTTCAACTGGTAGCTAATATAAGAATTTGTTAAGATATTTGCTATTTTTTTTACATTAAATCTTGAAATCTGGCATTTATTTCACACTTACACCACATCCTAATTTGGATTAGTCATATTTCTAGGGTCTGCCGTGCAGAATAACTTTTCCAGTGGGCACCGAGAGGACCTAGGTATCAGAAAAACATATCATGAGTCTCATTGGCGTCTCAGGTTTGTGTGAGATCTTACACAATCCTTTCTTCTTGGATATTTTACTTCTGTTTTCTCACATGAAAAATCCTGCCTTCTAACCCAGCACTATTAACGTACTTACTTACTTGCTTTACCACAAAATATACTTAAAAGAGTTTCCAAGCAATATGATACTATGGTGGTCAGTGTTACACTGCAAGGAGTTTACGGTTTCTTCACCGCTTTGTGAGGTGTGTTTCCCTACGGAAGTGTTGTTAAGATACCGTGTTCTAAAGTCATTTTGAAGATCCCTGGCTGAAGATGGAGCTCTGTGGTAATGCACTTGCTGACCTCGTGTCCATCGTCAGGACGGCTAAGCATCATCTTCCCTGTGTCCATGGCCAGCTTAGTTGGGTTTGCTCCTCCTTCAGCTGGAGGCCATGACCCAGGACATCTAGAGCAGTGCGACAGTGAGGTAGCTGCTGAGAAATGCAGAGGTAGGAGGATGAATGTCTGGTCCACAGGTTTAGCATCCTGAAATGGGGTACAGTTTTCTGTCCTCCAGAAGTGCCAGATGGGAGGAAGGGCTTTCCTTGTGACATCTACCTCCAGATGCAGGCTTTCCTCTCGGGCCCCTTACCTCTCTGTCTTGGTTACTTTTCTCTCTTTGCTGAGATGAAATACCTGACACTCTAAATTAAAGAAGGAAAGGTTTATTTAGCTTACGGTTTGTGGAGGTTTCAGTCCTTCATCTGCTGGCATCAAGACAGGGTGACATAGCACAGGGGCGACCTTCAAGGTGGCAGAAGCCAGCAAAAACAAGAACAAAAGCGGGGTGGGGGTGGGAGGTGGGGGGCCAGCCTTTTTCTTCCCTTATATTGTAAGTAGGCTGCCCACCTCTGGGGTAGGTGTAGCGCTCACACCAGCCTTCCTCTGCCCCTGCTGAATTACTCAAGCTTCTAAACTTATCCAGCTGTTGCAGTGAACAGCACCCTAGAGTGCAAAGGCAGGTCCTCTACATCCCTGGATGTAGAATGGTTGAATGACTTAGTTAAGGTGTAACTTCTCAAGTTGACACAATGTATCAACTGCTCCACCCTCCCTCTCTGCTGGCTTGGGCTCCACTGGGGATACCAAGTGGCCCTCGAAACGTCACCTTTGTGTTCTGTTTAGCTCCAGAACAAAGGGATGAAGGAATACTGCTTTGACTACAACCCTCCTGATGAAAATCAAGTCTGGGGACACCAGGTCATTCTCTACAACTGCCACGGGATGGGCCAGAACCAGGTGAGTGTAGCCTTGAAGGAGAGAAGTGGGGGCAAAACTATGTGTTTTTCTTTAGACAAAAAGTAAATATTTGGGGAAAAAAAGGTAAGTATTTGATTTTGTGGGGCTGGAGGTGTAGCTCAGAGGTAGGCACTTGCCTAGCATATATGAAGCCGTGTTTGATCCTTAGCACAATAAAAATTTTTAAAGTTAAAAAATTTTTTTCATTATAGCAGCTATATTTCAGAATATTTGGGAGATATAAAAAGTGGAAGCAAGGGGCTCTGTAAACCACAGAGACCACTATTAAATTAAAACATTTATTTTTTCCTGTCTTTGTTTACGTACATAGGCTTTACGTTACGTGTCTTAGATAACCCTTACCATATTGTCTGCTTATTCCTTTGTTTGTTTGTTTGTTTATTGTGGAACTAGCGGTTGAATGCAGGGCTTTCTCATATTGCTAAGTCACTGAGTTACCTAGGCAAGGCTCAGACTTGTGATCTTCCTGCCTCAGCCTCCCAGGGCTGGGGTCAGGTCTGTGTGATCGCAGCTGGCGTCTACCTGTGCGTTTTATAGTCCATTAACTTTACCGTATTTATGTTACTAGATGTGGTTTAGGAATAAAATTCTCAGCGGCCTCCTGATATTTGATCAGGTGACTGTTTGACTATTCAACTAACTGCTTGTCTGCCCCCCTGTTTTTGTAACTATAAGTAACTGCCACAAATAGCTTCCATTCAAAAGAAGGAAAAAGACCCAGACCTGTATTTTGGGTGATTTGCTTAGAATTCATTTGGAAATGGAATTATAGATTTTGACATACAGAATCACACTGCAAAATGGTGTTTAGGGAAATTGGTTTAAATGGGGACCCAGGGGGATCTTTCTGGATGATGCTGCATGCCAGGCCAGTCAGGAGAAGCTCAGCCCGAGGGCTTAAGGGACCAGGACACAAACCCCAGCACAGGAGAGCAGATGGACCTCTAGTGGGGTGCGGCTCATGGAGGATGCAGGAGATGAGACAGGCCGGTTCTGGAATGTCAGCGAGTCCTGAGCTGTAGGGCACCAGACACCTGGCAGCAAAGGGAGGGAGACGCTGCGGTTTCCTTCCGATCCAAATCACCCATCTCTGCTTGACTGTGTGGCTCCTTATGGGCCACAGCAAACTTGCATAATTTGGACCCTTGCAATACTGTTTAATCGTTTAGGGCCTTGACTATGTCTAGTCCAGGGTTCCACAAAGCTGATGGTTTCTGTCAGTCTGTCTGTCTGGAAACTAACATGTGTTGGCTGCCCTGCTCCTAGTTTTTCGAGTACACGTCCCAGAAGGAGATCCGCTATAACACCCGCCAGCCCGAGGCCTGCATAGCTGTGGAAGCGGGGTCAGACACTCTCATCATGCATCTGTGTGGAGACACCACCCCGGAGGATCAGAAGTTCCTCCTGCAGGAGGTCCGTGAGTGTTTGGCGGCCTGCCCATGCTGAGACTGTCGAAAGTGTGGAAGCTATGCGCTCTTTCCAGGGGTGTCCCAGTGGTCTCGGGCATGCAGGTCCCAGGAAAGGGGAACTCTACGGAGACCCCAGGGGGTGTCAGAGTCCAGCCATCGGGTGTCAGGAGCACTTCCTCCCTCCCTGTCAGTCTTTTCTGGCACACTGTGAGGCCCGGTGGGCTACACCAGGGAGTGCAGCTCTCACAGGTACATGTGGAGATGACTTGGGGTTTCAGTGCATGCATGAGCAGACAGACCAAGCGTAAGAACAGGAGGCTGGATGCTTCCTCAGCCTTGTTTTCCTCAGCTCTGAAACAGATGGAGGAGTAGCATCCTGCTCCTCTTCTAGTGAGGATTTCGTGTGCACCCAGAAACATTCTTTGGAAGCTGTGAGTCCTGTAGAGGCTCCTGTGATCTGTGGTGCTGTAAATCCGGGAAGATCCCTCCAGGAGGGAGTGGGCTGTATAGGTGCTCATCAGTTTGGAACCAGGTATATTTCAGGCCAGCCCCACTGCATTTGGAGTAAAACAGGACTTTAGAAATCACTCAAAGAAGTAAATCCAAAGAAAATAATAGAAAAAATGAGTGATCTTTTACCTCCTAGGAAGCCATTATTTTCAATTTGGCCTCAGGGATCTGTTCCTCAGTGCTGCCCATAAAAGGGTTAATTCTCAGTGTGATTAGAAGTTGGAAGATGTTTTTCTATAGAAAAATGTGATTTAGCAATGGAATCTGCAGTCTGTCCAGAACAGCCAAGCACCATAATTCTTGTTTTTTCATATAAGAAGCAGGAAGGAAGGCTCCTTCGGCACATCCCAAAAGCCTGTGATCCTCTTTAATGGCCTTCCTTGGTATCACTAAAGCTTTTGTCTTAAATGTCACTGACTGTTTAAGGAGAAGTGAGTTTGTTTAGCACAGTGAGCAGAAGGAGACTTACTTACCTTTATGTTTCTATAATGGCAACTTCGAGCTCTCCAAAGCTCCAGGTTGATAGTATTTGAGATTCTTGTTGTTCTAGGCATCTCCCCTCAGGTAAGGGGGGTTGTGCACTCTGCCAAGTTGCTGCTAAGCCTTGATGGAGTTCACCATGGGTAGTGGTGACACCTGAGGTGCCAGGACAGTATAAACCCTGGGCTGGGAGAGAACTGGCCAAGCTAGCTCAGCACCGCTGCGGTGAGGCAAGAGCAGGGGGCGGTCGTTACATAAGATCCGGTCCTCCGGGGAGTGGGGTTGGAACTAGCACAGAGCCAACTGCCTGGGACTCAGGCAGGAGCAGGTGAGGAACTCAGGCCAAGGGGCTGGACGACTCCAAAGCTAGGACCACGGCCATTTTCTAGTTCTGTGTAGACACACAGAAGCAAAACATCATCTGAGTAGGAGTTAATCAACCTAGGAGAAGTGAAAAAGATTTTTAAAAGAGAAAGAAAAGCTTTTTGCTCGAATTTTCCTGAAGGAAATGCAAGAATAGGAATGAGATGTAGGATCTGGCAGAGCCCCAGAGCCGCCAGCAGGGGGCGCCATCGGCCCTCGCAGAGCAGGTGTGATGCCCTCTGCACAGCTTTCCGAGCTGTGGAGCTTTCTGAGCAGGGCGGTTCAGAGTCAACGTTTTACACACAGGACAGTTTATCACATAGTAAATATTTTCCAAATGCTAACCACACCATGAGCTCCCCAAGAACCTGTTTCAAGGGTAAAAAGGCTGAGGAGTCAGTAATCATCTTGAACATCCAGTGTCTGTTTATCGTTTGTAGGATGGTTCTTTATTTCATGAACAGTCCAAGAAGTGTGTCCAGGCTGTGAAGAAGCCAGCCAGCCAGGGTTTTGTCCCGCTCTTACGAGACTGCGCTGACTCAGATCATCAGAAATGGTTCTTCAAGGAACACATGGTGTAGAGCCTCGCTGTGTGGAGGAGCCGTGCAGAGGAGCCTTCCGGAGCCCATGGTCTTTGTGCCCAGCAGACCCTTCACAAGCGCAGGGCCCAGAGCCCTCCTCAGACTTGGCCGCTCCATTTTTATAAGGAAGCCATCCTGCCTTTTGTGAACATCTTGTTGCATTTTATAAAAAAAAAAAAATATGAATGCACTTTGTACTGATCTTGAAATTAAAAATGTTCCAAAATACCCTATTTTCTGAGGGTAACCATAAGATGTTAACTCTTGATATTTGGAAAATTGAAACCTTATAATATTTTTTTTATCAAGATGTATATTCTACAACTGTAGGTTTTATTCTCACCAGCAAATACTCCTTTTTGGTACAAGGGTTCCCAGGTGTGAAGATGCTTACAGTGTATTTTGCACAAACTGATAATACCTCAAATATTGGGCTGGAGTTTTTTCAGTGTGGCATGACGGACACTAGGAACACTGCATTCATTCCTTCAGGCCATTAAAATTTATTTAATAGGGGCTGGGGATTTAGCTCAGCGGCATAAGCACCTGCCTTGTAAAGCAGGCAGTCATGAGTTTGATCCCTGGTACCAATAAAAAGGAAAAAGACAAAAAAATTTTTTTTATTTAATAAAGAATCCATCTTTTTAGCTGGCTGTAGTGAGTACGCCTGTACTCCCAGCACTCTGAGTACAGAGGCAGGAGGATTGTGAGTTCAAGGCCAGCCTGGAACATAGTGAGATTGTGACAAATAAACAAAAAATAAGGATGCATTTTGCTTTTGTGTTGGTGTTACTATCATAGGCAAACTTTAATAATATTCATATTGGCCAAAGGAAACTAACCAAAGTGATACCACAGTTTGACCAAGATGACACCAGTCTGATAGGGGCTTCTAACAGCACCTAGTGGGAGGTGGCTGGTTGCTTCTAGGAATGAGCCTTATAACTTTCAGAAGTGTTTTGCCATGTAGAAATGTCACGGAGAAATGTAATTTTTAATGTGAAATTCAGTTTTTAAATTTGTTCCTTAATACTTGGTTAATTCTTTAATGTTGGATTTTATGGTGCAGCAGCTGGTATGGAAGTTTCTCTCGGTAATTCCGATTTCAGAATGATTCCAAATCAACTCAGATCTTGTTAACCGAATAATTAAAATGATTTAAAAAAGAATCCACGAGCACTCGGCTGCAGATCTTTGCTTTTGTGTCCGCGGGTTCCCAGGGGATGCAGATACCTGTGTCACTGGCCTGGCTTCGTCCACTTTATGCTTCACCACGCTGTACCTCATTTTCTTATCTGTGAAATGGGGATCATAGGCCAAGCACGGCGTAGTTGTGTGGGTTAAATAACAGCAGCAGAGCTGAATGAATTGAGTGAGGTCAGCTGGGCTGAGCACGGTCCCAGCTGCAGGGCCAGCTCTTTCCACGTTAGCCTCTGTTTTCAGAAATGCCTGGTGTAAAATGCGAGGCACAGACACATCAGTAACTGCTGAGCAGTAAACACAGTGAGCTTATCTTGATGGGGTTCCCAGCTCCTCGCAGGAAGGGGCACTGGTGGTGGGCGGTCCCTCGCGCTGCTCTGCCCTTTCCCACATCTGTGAGGCGGGCGGGCCAAGTCCTCCCCACCCACCCTGTTAGACGCTAGGGGGCGCCACACGCAAGTGTGAAATCCACACTTCACGCCTGTGCAGAGTTCAGGGAGGCCACTTGGACATCTCCGGTGGCCACCAGCACCACAGCTCTTGGGCTCTATTTGTAAAATGAGTTCTCTCACTCTTGCCCTCGTATATTTTGCAAGTTTTAGGGTTGAATGGAAAATCAGTAGACTATTTTTGAGCATATGATAAATGTGTTCATAAACTGGGAGGCAATGGGTAATATTTGGAGAAGTGCTTTGCTTTATTGATGGGTGAAGTCTGAGGAAAATCCACAAGGTGGAGGAAATTCACACCAATTTCATTTGCTGAGTGAGTTATTAATCTTCCACCTAACCCAGGGAGGTGTGAAAACAGCCCTGATGCATGGGGTGGGGGGGGGGCGCGGAGGGGACAGACAGACAGTCTTCACTGTGACAGGTGGGTGTAGCTTCTGGGATGCCATTTACCTCTGGTTTGGTCCTGAAGTCTCAAGACAGTGACTATAAACTTTATTCCTGTCCTGATGGGACCTCAAAGGATGTGGTCCTGGATTTTACAGTTTGTCTATCTTTCTTTCTTTCTTTTTTGAGACAGTGTCTCATTCTGCAATTCAGGCTGGCCTTGAGCTCACTTTGTAGCCCAGGCTGGTCTTGAACTTGCCACGATCCTCCTGCCTCAGCCTCCCGAATGCTGGGATTACAGGCATGAGCCATCACTCCCAGCTTTCTACAGTTTGTCTTTCATGGGAACTTCTTTATCCCAGTGAATGCCTCAGTGCCCCACCTGTGACCAGGTGTCCCCCTCACTGGAGACTTGTGTAGATTGGTAGGCACCTTTGTGGCTCTTCTCTGCACTGTGGTCAGTTCCTTCCACCAAGGCCGCCCTAGGCAACCCTGGCCAGGAGAGTGGAGCTTGTGTGTTCGGACTGGGTGTGATACAGGAGACAGCGCAGGGAAGCCTGGTGAAATACTTACAGATCCCAGACACAAGAGGGTGGCAGTCCTTCCAGGAAGAGGGCAGACCCAAGGGATATATATTCAGTCTGCTGGTAAAGAGGAAGAAAAGGGAGGCCAGGGACTTGGCTCAGTGGCTTACGCACCTGCCTGGCAAGCGTGAGATCAATCCCTGGTTCTCCCCCCCTAAAAAAAAGGAATGGGCATAAAAAAAGGGGAAACGTGTCTAAAGCCTTGTAGGAGGTAGACTCCACAGTGCTACCTGAGCAGGTTTCCCTCAGGGAGTTCTAACTGGCGGATTTAGAGCAAGCAAGCATAAGTTCTGTGGAGTCATGCCTTGCAGGACAGGTGGTCACTGTGGCCTAGCTGCATGGTGTGTGCCACATAGGTGACCAGCCTCCCCACGGGAGTGTGGTCACCAGGAAGCAGGTGAGTAAAGCAGACTGAAGAACGGGGGTAGGGTGGGAGCGTGAGAGAAATGGAGATCATGTCAGGGTGACGGAGCCCTGCTTCTGGTGTGAGGGAGGAGATCTATATTCACAGTGACTAGGAAGGCAACAAATAACAAATTATAAGATGCTTAGGATAAAATACAGGAATTTACCACAGGCTCCCTGCCTCATCTGCAGAAGAGGCGTAAGTATATATTCTGTTCATTTCTTAGCATATTTTCTGACTCTATGTTTAGCAACTGCCTTCGGAATTACAGTATGCTTCCTAACTTATCCTAAACTTCATCAGCTTAGTATTCCAGGAATACTTAGCAAATTTGTACTAGTACGACCCCATTTCCTGCCTTCTCTGTCTTATTCTGGATGTGTGCATCCACGCATCTTACAAACAAGAGGATGCTGTGGTTACTGGTTTAATGAGCCAGGGAGAGTGTATTTAACACACACGGAGAATAGTCGTTTATGTTCACCAGCCTATGTCCCACTTCCCATGTCCTGCTTTACCTTCTAGGACCCCAAGTAACCGTTTGGTGGTGTTCTTTTTCATCTTAAGGACTTTCCTTAGTGGATCATCAAGGTAGGTCAATTTTGTGTGTGCCCGTGCATGCTGGGAATTAATTCCAGGGCTCTGCATACCTTTGGGAACACAGTGCTGCCTGGCTACATTCCCTCTCTAACGAATTGTTTTTGTTTATTTGAGGAATGTTTTTATTCTGCCTTCAGTTTTTGCAAGATAATTTATCTGGGTATAGGATTGTAGTCGGCAAGCTTGCTTTCTTTTTTCTCCCCTCAGCACTGTGAGTTTGATTTGACTATTTTAGGATCACCACTGTTTTAGGTGAGAAGTTGCTTGTCGATACTGTTTGTGAAAAATGATGGATCATTTTCTTTTGCCGTTCTTTAAGGTTTTCTTTGGTTTTACATACAACCTCTCCTCCCTACTATGCTGTCAGCTGCCATTCTGAGTTTCAGCATCTTTTGCCCTGTGGAGAAGCTAACATCCTTCTAAATAATTTATTCTTAGTTCATTTGTAACAGTTTTCTCCTCTAAACTCTTTTCTCTCCTGCTTTATTGTAAGCAGCCAGAGGAAACTAGGCAGCATCTTCAGTGCTAGGTGGAAATACCTTTAGTCACGTAAAAAGGTTTGTCTCTGACAAGTCCTCCTTCCCATGCAGGTGCTTTACTAAGTTCTCTGCCAGGACACAGCGAGGATTGCTTTGCCTCAGTTTCCAAAGCACGCTCCTTGCTCCCTCCTGGATGCTTCTGGGGAGCGTCTTCAACATCCCCCAGCTCCCACCCATACTAAGGATTGGACCCAGGACTACGGCTCCTCCAGCCTCCTCTGCTTTTTGAGACTTATTAAGTTGCTAGTCTCCCGGGAGGGGATCAAGCTTGTGATCCTCCAGCTTCAGCCTCCCAGAATGCTGGATTGCAGGAAGGGACTAACACACTCAATAAATCTATATTTCTACATGGGCGTGGTGCCTCATCCCTGTAACCCCAGCACTTGGGAGGCTGAGGCAGGAGGATCATTGAGAGTTCGAGACCAGCCTGGGCTACAAAGTGAGCTCAAGGCCAGCCTGAACTGCATAGAGAGACCTTGTCTCAAAAATCTATATTTCTGCCAGGGCCCGTGTAAGGAAATGTAGGCTTTCTTGATGAGGCTCCTCAAATTCCTCCTGCCTCTCCCCACACCGCAGGTATTTGTTACAGCAGCCTCGTACTTTCAGGCACCAAAATCGGTGTTAAAATTTTACTGCTGTATAATGAATTACCCAAAATTTAGCAGCTGAAAACAGTCTCCCCTTGCTGCCCCCATTTCTGTGTGTCCAAAGCCGTGGCCCTGGCTCAGCATGGTTCTCAGCGCTGGCGCTCTTTGGCTGGAGTCAAGGCGTTGGCCTGCGGTTGTCTCATCTGAGACTTGGTGTCTGTCTTCTTCCCAGCTCATTGCTGCTTGGCAAAACTCAGTTCCTTGTGGCTGTAGGATTAGGAAGCTCAGCTCCTAGAGTACAGGGCCCAAACTGCCTCCCCAAACTCACTCATTTATTGTGAAGTTCCACACTGCAGTGAAACCTGATCCTGAGGGTTTAGTTTAGAAAAAAACTTGCATATGAGCATCTTTTGTCTTTTTTTTTTTTTTTTTTTTTTTTGCATCTTTGTAGTTGGTTTTGGCCAAACTTTTTATTTAATATTCTGTAATTGTTTAACACACACTTAAGTGGTCTTTCTGGGTGAGAGGAAAGGCAGTGCGATTTCTCAGAGATTCCCAAGGAAATGTCAAAAAGGCAAATTATGGCCAGCACTATCCTTTATTTTGGTTTACTGGGTGCATAGCACTTCCTTACATAGGATCTGATCTCAGGCTTCATTATACTGAGAACAGGGGGATTTCAGTGGTACCCTCTAACGGCTAGCTCGGCTGAACGGGCAGATGGTTCCTCTCTCAGTGAAGATCAGGGTATATCTGGATGGCTAGATGTGTGTGGAAGATCTTAGAATTACTTCCCTTATTTACTGGGAAAAATTAGGTAGGAAGTGGCCTTTAGGGGTACTTTTACTTGGAAAATTACAACACTTGTACAACGAGCCTTACCCACTTCAACACTGGCTTGTTGAGAGCAATTCATAAAATCAAATAAAATTAAATACTTTTTTTCCTCACAAGAACATAAAAATTCTGAAGGAGAACTTAACAGGAAATTTTAAAAAGGTAACACAATTTCCCTTTTAGTAGTCCTTGGGTAGTTATGATAGAGTAGTTTCCACTTTTTATTTGTGTCTTTGAATGGGATTTTGGTGCAGTTTTGTTTGTTTCTAGCATGTGCTTCTTCCTGTCCCCATATGGATCAGCTTCCTCCATGGCCATCCCCGCTTGGTGCTCCAGGGCTTGAACTGCTGGAGAAATCGTGGGGAGGAGGGTACCCCATTCCACAGAAGGGGGAAGCCCTCATTCTTGTCTGCCAAGCCAATCGTGGCCACCTGAGTAAGATCGCTTCGGCTGCCTGAGTAACTGTCTCGACTTCCACCATATCCGTCCTGTGAGCAGCTGTAATCATCATCGTGACTGCCTCCACCATAGACGACGGGGGCCCTGGTGCAGGTGGAGCCCCACACGGGTCACCGGAACT